GCACGTTTTCTGGCCCAGACCTCCTTCTTCTTGTGACACATTTTCGTGATGTTTTTTGTCCATTTCCATCGGAATAATTTTATAAGTAACTTTCCCACTTTTTATGATTCCTCATATGGAGGGAACTTGATAAGCACAAAATCGAAGGGCTAGGGAGGGTATGGTCAAATACAGGTGAAATACATAGTATGTCATGCAGCACATTAGAGCTGCGCTACCTTTCCCCCTTAGAAAAATATCAGCTTGACAAAAATAGCCCCCTAACTTTTTCTGAAGGATGATTTTGTCTGTTACGTTCACTGTTCTAAACATTCCAATTTTATTGCCTGTATGGTAATCACCATTTAAGGAAAGTGGCCTATATATAATATATAAACTATGCTGTTTTAAAGGTGTCACCAATGTACGCAGTCAATGAGCTTTATTTTACCATAGAACTCCAACAATTAAGTCCTGATCGACAGTAACAGATTGAAGCTGTACAGATGCCAGGTAAAATGAAAAGCAATAAGCATGTGTACCAAGTATATTTATGCAAAACACATCAAACGATCTAAGCAGTGAAAGTGCTCACATCATAATAAGAATCTAGTCTAAGAGGATATACTTTAATAAGGTTTGACAAAATTATCTATGGACGATTTCCAACATCACCATATAACGTCAGATAGACCAGCGCGCAGTTCATCGAAGGCCGATCAGCGCTTACTCAAGGTTGAATTTTAATCTGGGTTTTTTTTATCCTTCAATTTAAAGGCCATCCTCCGATAATTTTCTCTAACCTCTTTAGAGCATGCAACTATCAAATTTTAGACAAAATGAATTAAACTTAAATTTCTTTTCAAGCTTTCAGAACTGATATTAGATTTCACAATAACTCTAGGTTATTTTAACCCAGCTTTGAACAATCGGAACTGGGAAGATTAAGATATGATATTTCCTCGGCATGCAGTCTGTTTTGCGAAACAAAGCTTCGCGCAAGACCTGATGTATTTAACACTACAGCTACAGCTATAGTTTTCAGCGATACGAATTGACTAAGAGCTTGTGAAAAACTGGAAGATTTTTCATAAGATTTACCTGATCCGCACACAAGGCTCTGTAATATTGGTAGTTCATTGGCAATCAATGTGTTCTAAACACAATAGCCCTTTACTGAGAAGAAAAGCCGACTTCCGATGGATGAAAATAAATGAATCGAAATCCCCGAATAACAATCGAAGAGTGCGTTGGCGCTAACTCTTAAGATGGAAAATGCGTTGAATCATGATTACAAAGCAAACACAAGGTATCCTTTGTCACTTAAGTAGTAGAGAGTGCTCACTACTTTTTTGGCGACATCAACTGGAAATCTAATTCTGGTCGTTTTGCATTCAATATGAGGCCGTAAAGGCTCGCTAAGCTTCAACAGGTTCCTTCTAGCCAATCGAAAATTCTCTCTCCATTCTTCAGTGGCAATAACTTCGTTTACAAAGTTGTCCCACCACGCATTCGTTCTGCCAGGTCGAGTCCAGAAACGTCTTTGCTTTTAAGGTTGAGAATCTTGCGTTGCTTTCCTAGTATCCTTTGACACCGGTGATTGTCTAAAGTCATTCCTAATTCTCTGGCGTACAATTTTCATGTGAACTAAAGCAATACTTAACTCTAAACAAGCGAGTAAAGAAGAAATTATTGTCGATAACACAGAAAACATGATGCTGTCCACCATGCTGACTTAATGATCGAGAGAGACTTGAGAAGATAAATCACATGAAAAAATGACATAAGCATATTCAAAAAGTTCTGGATACGAAAAGTTCTCCGTCCACACTAATAAAAAAAAAGTAGCATTTTCAACTTGTTCCACTTTAGAGAGCGTATGCAAAATGTTCCATTTGCGTGGATCTTTTTATGTGGATTTGTGCGTTGTAGTGTGAACGGTAGACCTAAGTGTAACAATAAAGTTGCGTTTTCAAATTTATCCAGCATAGTGCGGACAAGGCCTAAATTGAAGTCAGTCTCGTGGTAAATTGCTCACAATGTGAGATCCGTGTTCCAAAAGCAAGTTTAAGCCACCATATAAAAGGTCTCCGTGAGTGTGATGTTCCCCAGGCAAAGGCAATAGCCATGCTTTTAAGTATAGAATGCCAAAAGTATCTAAGGACGTCTTTAAGATTTCTTTCTTCCCTAGATCAATAACAGAGTGGAACTCACTGCCCACTGACTTAGTGAATTGCAAGTCATTATCTGATTTTAAGCTAAACTTAGGAAAGTACGTGAAATAAGTAAAGTAAATTCCAATTATGAATTATCATTTATTTATCTTGTTATTTTGTTACTTGTTATTACTTTTATTTCATTTATGTATGTGTACATATATATATATATATATATATATATAAAATTTTAGCTTTTATTTATAGTTGATGTGATATCTAACAAGATTTTATCAACTCAATAAATGGAGATGTAGAAGGTAAAGAGGTTTTCTGTTCTGCATGATGTCCAACTTCAACAGCTG